CTAGAGTTCATCCTCCCCTAATTGACCCTTTGTTAACCCTTATCTCTAGGTCACTTCTGGTCAAGCTGCTTGACCTCCAGAATAGAGAGAGATTCATTGATTCATTCAGAAAATATGCACACTTCTCTAACTACACATGCAAGTCCAAGATCCTTACTCAGGATATGTAATGGTTGTGACAAGAGGGTAACATTCCTTCTTTGTTATTATGGGCTCATCATAATTACTAGGAATAAAATAATAAATTTTAATTCAGTGATGCCTATGGCCTTTGGGCATCTTAACATAAAAGAACGAAAATATAATTAACTAAATCAAGGCAATGCCTATTTCCATCCCAGCTCATTAGTATTAATTGATTGGTTTAATTCTCTTTTGTGCTTAACAGTACGCCCTAAAAAATATTTTTAAAAGGAGGGGGGACATAGGAGAAGTAGAAATGGTAAGTAGACAGAAGTTCTGGATCTTTTGCTAATGAAGACAAAATAACGACAAATATGACTTTTACCATAGCCACAAAATAATCTGCGAATTTACAATCAAGTTCAGATCTGTACATAGAGCATCAGAAATAATGGCAAAAACTTTGCCTCTGTTACCATTTCCCAATTGCCTCAAAGAAATTTGTAATCCTCCTTTCTACTATATATTAATATAAGTTGTGAGAAAAAACGCCAATTCTATTTTATAGATGGTAATATAAGAAAGGCACAGAGATTTCAAGATTCTTGAGGGCCATATGCAGAAGGGTTAGTTTTCCTGATGTAAGCCTACTCCTCTGTATGTTAAGATGCTGGCTTCTATGAATGGAAAAATAATATTGAGGATGCAATATTTTCATAAAGTAGTACCAAATGTAGTTCTTCAATGATTTGGTTTGGCTTTTATTTAGCTCTAATCCTTTTAAAGTGTTTACACACTTATGTAGAATGTACTTTTTATAATATTTTAGAAATTACTAAGAAAGTGCTTCCACTATACTGTATTATATTTTGGCTTTTAAATCTTTTGAAGCAATTATTTTTTACCTGAAATTTTTATCCTTTATCTCAGCCAATAGATGGCATCAGGAAAAATAAAACTCCACTCAGCTATTTTTCCAACACCATGAATGGATATAAAAAAGATAAGACAGTAGCAGAAATTCAGAGTGAACAGATGATGGTGATGATGGTGATGGTGGTGATGATGATAATGATTCAATTTTATATTTGAATAGCTTTTTATTATCCCTCAAGTATTATCACACAAATTATAGACCAAGAAAAGACATCAGAGGTTTAGAGCTAAGCTACATCAACCAGATATTGGAGAATCGTGGTTCCACACCAATGAAGGCATTTTTCAAATGCCTTTTAGAAACAGAAAAATAACTTACCAGTAGACCTTATAATCCTAATAACTCATACTGACATGTATATGTATGTGTATGGATGAATATTTATGTGTACATGTGTGTTTGCTTGTATACATTTGTATATGTGGGAGTATTTGTGTATCAGCACAATGAGGAACTGAGAAAGTAAACTAGTTTGGAAAAGTGATATTTCAGAGAGAAAGACTTTAAAAATTACACTTCTTAAATTTTATCCTGGACCTTAACTCAGCACCATTTTACTTGTCCCTTCATTCAACAACCAATATATATATTTTTTGTGCCCTCATCATGTATCAGGCACTGTGCAAGACACTGAAGAGATGGTGGTAAATATATTTTGAAGTTCTTTGCCATTTTGAGTTTATTTTAGCAGAGAAAACAGACTGTAAACAAATAAGGCAATTTATAATATGCCATGTGGTAACAAGATGTATGAAGAAAAACATAGCAAAATGAAAGAATAGAGAGTAATAGAATAGGGATGGTTATAATTTTAGAAAAGAACCAGCAAGGACTATCTGACATGTTGACATGTCTTCAAAGAGCAAATGAAATAAATGAGATATGCACATGAATATCTGGAGGAAGAACATTCCGGGCAAAAGATTATGTGCAAAGGCCCTGAGGCAAGTGGGTACCTCCTACAACCATGAAAGAGCTAGAGCATGGTGAATGAGGAAGACAAGACCAACCAGGGCATCAATAATGGTATGAGCTATAGATTTTTCTCTTAGAAGACATACAAAGTCATGGAGTGGAGGGGTGGGTGGTTGAGGAAAGAAGTGAGAAGATTTCACTTATTTTTAAAGGATATGCACAATAAATTATTCCTATTTTAGTGTACAGCATAAAAGTCAAATATCAATAACATATATATTAAGTCTGTTTATCACAAAAAATAATTACAGAGATGGGCAGTCCCAGTTACCACGCTACTATAGCAACTTCAAAGTCATCAGGGTACAGGGCTTCTTCTAGTCTGCTTCTTCCCCATTCTTAATCAGTCATCTCATGATCAAAGATAGCAGCTGGAAATACAGCTGTCATATTTATTTTCCAGGAAATAAGGAGGAGGAGAAAGAAAGGACAAGGACAAATAGAGTGAGTTGCCCACTGGGTCAGCTCTATTTCAGCAATGTTTCTAGACATTCTGGCCCATACTTCCCATACATCTCACTGGCCAACTCTCAGTCATGGGCTATGTCCAGCTATAGAGGAGGCCATCTTACATTGCTGCCCCAAAGAAAAATGTGGTTCTGCTTCTAAGAAAAACAAAGAATTAGAAACATGGGAATCAGCTAAGAGACCATTGGGAATGGTCCCAGCCAGAAAGTATTTAGTTAGGACTAGAGTGTTATCAATGGAGGTGATGACATGAGACACATGTTGAAAATCTGGCCAATAAGACTCAATGGTGAATCATGGGATGAGAGAAAAAGCAGCAGGTCTCCAAGGCTTGGGGCCTGAACCACTGAACACCTGCTATTTCACTAAGTGAGATGAGAACTTACTTAAAAGTTGACTCTGTGTGCATACTCCATGTGTCTGAGGTAAGTTCTGATCACAGAACTTACCTTCTGAGGTAAGTTCTGATCACAGAACTTACCTCAGAATACCTCAGACACAAAGGATATGGTCTCCATGTTCTTGCTTCTATCCAAGTCTAATCTTACATTTTTGATACTCTAATTACTTCTGTCCACATTCTGCCTTACTCTCTGCATCACATATTTTAAAACTAAAAATGTTCCTCTTATATTTGTTCCCTAGTTAGCTTTTCTTTAATGATAATGCACATTTCTCACATTAGGTATTATTTTTAACTTTTTTAAAATCTCGCACAGAGTTCCTAGGTATTTGCAAGTCATCTGTTGACTCTGATCTCTATGATAAAAAATCTCAGATTTTACTCTGGCCAACTCTGCTCCCTGCCAACAACTCCCCTAGGTTACTTGAACAGAAACTGGTATCCACTACTTAACCTCACATTCCTACCAATTGTCCTAACCCATCTCATTTATTCTAAATAAAGATGAAAGCAAAATATTGCCTGAACCAGGAATAATGAAAAGAAGGAAAAAGCCATTATTGGAAGGTGGTAGCCAGGAGCAAGTATTTAGTTTGCTCAGATCTTAACATCTCTAAGAAGCCAAGTATATGTTCCACATGCCCTTGCCTGTTTCTTAGCCTTTGCTCTGCTTCTGCTGCCTTTTCTCTATCTTCATTCTCTGGCCCTACCAACACCATTCCTTGATTGTACATTAACCTGGAAGTAACAGGTGACCCAGAAAATTACTGGTACAGGAATTTTAGCTAGGAAACTTCTCCACAAAAGTCTCAATATGAGGCAAAGGATATCCCTTCCTCCAGTAGAACTTGGCTAAAGGTGTGCAAAGGGCATCTTTTCTCTGAGATGAGGTTTGAAGTCTGTAGTTTTCTTTTGTCATTCCTAATCCTTTCCTTAGGTATTTGATAGCTGTCAATAAGCAAGTACTCTGACCCCATAGTCACAGAACACAAACATACACGCACGTGCACACACACACACACACACCGAGCAAGCGAGAGAGAGAGAGAGAGAGAGAGAGAGAGAGAGAGAGAGAGAGAGAGAGATCAAGAATCTAAGCTGATAGACTATTTTCCCTAAAGAGTACTAATTAACTGATTTGCCTGAAAACTCCTTGCTACTATAGGGGGAAAAAACTAACTTCCAGAAGGTGGAATGATAAAACTTCTGTTCAGAAGAATCTGATTCTATCTAAAAGCAACAGGTATCAAAACTGCATCAGTCTATCCTCCACACTGTTTTATTTTCCCTCATGCAGCCATGTTCTTACTTTAACAAGAACAAGTGCTCCTGTAAGTATTAAATACACTTATGGTAAAAAAAAATAGAGTTTTAGTGCAGAGTTTTAAAGATATCCATAACTAATCACATTTCCCAAGCACTTTTCATTTGCCAGTGAACAGAGTCTCTTTGATAACCACCCCTCATTATCAGTCCCTGAAGAAGGCGATGAATTTTATTCTCATTTGACAGATAAGGAAGCAAGCACACAAAGCTGAAATAACTGACTTAGTTACTTGATGATGTGGTAGAGGAGTTGAAATTTGAATTCTCAGTCTCTTCCAGCTTCCCAGACCCTGGAGCTATGTGGCCAGTTTTGCAATAAGGAAGACTATTTATATGACTTTCCATGGGACCAGGAAGTCAAAACCACAACAGGGTAAAAGCAGGAAGACATTGCTTTGTTGGCAGGGAATTTCAAAGGCAGCAGCATTAAGCGATTTCAGAGTATTTTGCTATATTGTGGGGGTTGCCCTGGATGAGCATGACTACAAAGTGCTTGAATAAAGAAGCATATTCTTTGAGAAGACTCTTAACCTTCTTGTATTTGAAAAATTAAAATAATCAAGCTCTGTGTTTATAAGAATCAAAAGAAAGGGGTTCTACTTTGATTCCTCTGGCCACTTCTTCCTTTTCATATTAAAACATCAAATTTGTCTGAGAATAAATTGCCAAGTGCTGAAACTTACCCTAAAAGTTCTCTTCCACCCTGCCCCTTAAAATTGATAGACAATTACAAAATGATGCCACCACCCATCATCAACCTCCACAAACCTTTAATATGCACGAAGTTGAGGATGCTGGTATTGGTGTCAAGCAGTAGCAATTGGCCTTTCTCCACCGTGACGTTGTCGCCATCTTGTGGCAATATTTCTGGAAACCAGCTGTGAGCCCTGGACCATCTCTGGCAGAACTGAAAAGAAAGGTTGCCCTAGAAAATAGAATTTTTGTTTTGTTTTAAAACAGGAGAGTACAGATGATAAATTAAAATAGAAACTTCTTGAACTAAAATTAATGTAAAGTGGCTCAGCAAAAGTAGTCACCCTCTTCCTCAACCAAAACATCAACCTGGAAAATATACAAGCATCTACATCAAGTTGGACTTGATGTGCCTCTGTGCCAGTTTCTGAAATTCTCAACAACATGCTGGTGATGTTTCCTTACGTTTTTCCCAGCACAGGCCTCCCTCTACCTAACAGATGGGGTCGATTCCATTTTTTATTTTTACAGATATGTATTGAGTCTTGGAAAAAAGTCATAAATAGCCTAGAATAGAGAGAATTAAAATGTTCTGCTTGATGGGTGGCATTTTGCTTTATGTAATTGATATCATTTTTCACTGGCTCTACTGCCAAAGTGTCCCTGTTTTATAGGAACATTCCTCTTTCCAAGTGCTTAGCTCCATTCTCCTACTCTGACTTTTTTGATATCATTTTTTGCTTTCCTTCTGTGCTTGGTGCATCAGTGCTGAAAAAGTTCATGCATAGGTGAGATGCCACAGACTTCAAATGACAGCCTGGAACCTGTGAGTGAGGAGGGCCAAGGATCTGGCTTGAAAAGTCCAAAGGAAGAAGCACCTCCTCTTCATACTAATCTTCATTCTCCCTCCAAAACTTTTGGCTTTCCAGTTAATTTTTGGTCCCCTTGATATCAGATGTTTTTCAAGACAAATGCATCACAAGAAGGAGTATTTGCCTTGTGAAAGAGGCTGAGCACATATCTGAATGTGTTCTGCATTTATGGGACCATAATTATGAAAATATAATGACATCAAAACAGAGAATCACAAAACAGTGATTCCATCAAGGTAACACATACAACATGTGTATGCCTCTCTCCACACAATTCTTCTTCCCACCCATATTCCAAGCAAATGTGAAGCCTGAATTCCTATTAAATAGCTGCCTAGAAGGTCCTCTCGTGAGGCTTAGAGGCAGATGGGCATAGATCGTTAAGAAGAGAAGGCATTTTATAATCGCAATAACTATACCTACAGAGAGCACAGTGCCCTGAAGTAGTTCTAAGACAGAAAAGGAAAAATATGTTACCAAAAGAGTTTGTGGACTTGGAAAGAGAGAATACTGACTGTTCTCCACCACCATCACTAATAGTCCTGAGTTGCAAACCAGCCCCATCCATCACCAACCAGGATTTGGGATAGGGAAAAAGTAGGTCTTTTCCTTGTCTACATCTATAAAGGAGAAATACAGGCTAGAGACCCCTCCCAATGGAAAGGCATCAGGTGTAGTCATGAGCAGCCCTAGCATCACAGCCTGGGTGAAGCATGACTATGTTAGAAGCTGGATGAACCCTGTCCCCACGATGCCATCTGTGGATCACATGGCGGGTGAGAATTTTTGCTCTCTACTGATTACATACTAACACCAGACATATGGAGGTAAATTTACAAAATGCTGTTTATCAGGCTATAAAGTGCACATTCTGATAATCCTTTAATTCACTCCCATAGAATCCACAGAGAGGAAAGGAAAGCAAGCAGGAAGAAAGCGGAGTGGAATAAAGTGGTAGTGAGTGGAAAAAACTGAACTAGATGAAGATGGTAAAGTCAACTGCTGAGCAGGGTGGACCAGATTATCTGTAACACCAGCTCAGGGTCCACTAGAAAAGCAAATTTGAAGAAGTTTGGATTTCTACTGGTCAGATGTAAAAGACACTAGAGAAATCCTAACCTCTTCATTTTAAAGAGGATGTTTCAACAGTATTTCACAGCTCATGGTGTTTAAAGTGTAAGAGACTCCCTCAGTGCCACCACAAAGAAATCAAAAGCTCAGGAGGTGGGAACCGAGGATCTGTCATTTTAATGATCTCCTCAGATACTTCCACATCAAAGCTTGAGAACCAATTCAAGGCAAAGGCTAGAGGGAAGGAGATATTTCGATAAAAGGAACCAGGAAGCTTCCTTTAAGCCAACCCCTGAAGCTCAGGGTCCCAAAGAGCCTATCAAGTTGGGGAGATGGTGTGTGGACAAGCTGTAAGAAGTCTGAATAGTTCAGTAGCTTAACTTTTTCTGACACAATAACCTGGCCATCAGATTCAAAGCCCAGCATCAGAACTATAAAGAAAACCAGGCCTCCTGACCCTCATGTTGGAAAAGTCTGGAACAACTGGGCATTAAGCATGTAAAGGAATCAAAGGAAGAACACTGCAAGATGTTCTCCATTAATTAATTTGAGGTCATTTTAAAATTTACAGTCAGCACCAAGACCTTTTATCTAAGTGGACTTTAACGATACTCTCTCTTGCTCTGATACACCTAGGTGTATCAGCTTTTCTAGTGGACCCTGAGCTGGTGTTACAGATAATCTGGTCCACCCTGCTCAGCAGTTGACTTTACCATCTTCATCTAGTTCAGTTTTTTCCACTCACTACCACTTTATTCCACTCCGCTTTCTTCCTGCTTGCTTTCCTTTCCTCTCTGTGGATTCTATGGGAGTGAATTAAAGGATTATCAGAATGTGCACTTTATAGCCTGATAAACAGCATTTTGTAAATTTACCTCCATATGTCTGGTGTAACTGCCTTCCATGTGCTAAAGCATCTAGGTCTGGCCCATCAACCTTCAAAACTTGCTGTACTCAGTCCCAACCCCGTTGGTGGGAAGGTCAAATATTTTTATCTTCTCTTTGCAAATGACAAAGCAAAGACCCAAAGAGTTTCAATGATGTATCAAAGTCAGAGTGGTAGAGACAGACAAGATCCATGCAAAGCAAGCTCCCACTTCAGGGCTTTTCACTCACTGTGGCCTCTCCTGGAAGGCTCTTCCCAAAATATCTGCACAGCTCATTCTTACTGTATTCCAGTCTCTGCTCACATAATACCCCTCCCCTGTCTCCTTATTGAAATAGCACTTCTGATCACTTGTCACAAGGGAAATGCAAATGAAAACCAGGAGGTGCAACCTCACTCCTGTGAGAATGACTGGCTTAAGAAAAAAAAAAAAAAAAAAAAACAGAAACACGTGTTGGCTAGGATGTGGAGAAAAAGGAACCCTCCCACACTGTTGGTGGGAATGTAGATTGGTCCAGACCCTGTGGAAAATAGTATGGAGGGTCCTTAAAATATTAAAAGTATTTCTACCCTGTTATCCAGTCAATCTACTCCTAGGTATCTATCCAAAGAATACAAAACCACTAATTTGAAGGGATATATACACTCCTGTGTTAATTGGAGCACTGTTTACAAAAGCCAAGATATGGAAACAATCTAGATGCCCATAACAGAGCAGTGGATTAAGAAGTTGTGTATTTATGCACAGTGGAATACTACTCAGCTATAAGAAAAAAAGATGTGTTCTTGCCAACATGGAGGGGACTGGTAGTGATAATGGTAAGGGAAATAAGTCAGGAAAAAAATACTGGATAATTTCACTCGTATGTTGTCTGTAGAGAGAAAAAAAGTAACTGAGAAAACTAGACCAAAACCCTAGAAATATGACTGCAGAACTGAGGCTTCTAGAAAGGGAAGGAAGAGGGGGTTGGAGCAAAGAGGGGAAGGGGCCAAGTGGCCTAGGGGAGGTGACAGTGGGATCTTTGATGTTGGGTTACATGTGGTGACATACCTCAGAGGAGGTATGAACCTGTTCCCCTAAATCACATACAGGGTTGTAAATCAATGTCACCTCAACAGAGAAAAATAAAATAGTATCACTTTCAATTACATCCTTTCCCTAAAATTGTTTCATTCTAGAATTAGAATATATAATTCCTTGTGTGTTCACCCTCTATTGAGCCTGTTCAAATGAAAGCAGGGACTTTGTTTTGGTCATTACTATATCCTCAGACCTGTGCAAAGAATCTGGCTCAATAAAAGTTCGTAAAATAATTTCTCAGGTGAATCACCCATCTGCAAACCCCATGCATGTGTGCACGCATGCACACACACAAGCACTCATGTTTCTGACACAGGTAGACAGATAGGTGATAAGATCTAAAATTTTTTTAAAAATGCAACACCCCTAGGTCTTGCGATCCATTAGGTTTTGCTCACATGCTCTCACATTCCTTTCTGTGTTTTCAAGTTCTATTTAAACTTAAACCAAGTATGGCAAGTGTGTCTAAATTAAAACTGAGACTCAGATGCGGGATCCCTATGAAATATTTCACCCATTTTTTTTCTTTCAAAATATCTCTGTTCAGTGTGGTAGATCCCAAATGAATATAAACGTTAAACATTAAGTTGTAAGGGGCCTAAGTTTCCTTGTGCCTAAACAACTCCATGGCAGAATAAAGGTATTTTGAGATATATGCATTTTTATTGATGATTCATACTGCAGTGCAAAGCTATGACTGAGTTCTAGAAGTTCTGAAAATTAATGCAGTCTCAAGTACCTAACATCTACCTGGGAAAGTAGAAGAGGAATATATCCCCAACCTGTCAGTGAATCCACAACCATAGGCGTGTTGCCATACCAATTTTAGTTCTTCTATACCTTGCAGAGTTGACACACTGGTAGCATATTTCCCTTCCAGAGCAATGCCCATAATATTGTGGAAATGATTCATTTTTTAATAGTTTCATTTTCTAATAACGATTGCTTTGATCCAATCAAGCAAAAAAGAAAGCTACATCGATTAAAAAAAAAAAAACTGTCAATATATAAGCAAACCTCTCAATTGATACCAATGTGATATTTTTCATGAAAGTGAAGCTCTAAATCACCAATCCAACTTGTAGATCAATGTAGCTTTACTTCCACTGAATACAAGCTCTTTCCACTATAGTCCCTAGGGTGCTCAGCCTTTGGCTTTAGGTTTAGATAGATGAATCACTCATTCCCATTCTGCAGATGAAGAAAACCATTTCCCCATGCGCACATGTGGGTGGATACAGAAATAGAGATTTAAGAACTATCTAGAACATGGCCTCATCTTTACCTGAATACTTATAACCCAAATTAACCCACCCATCCAC